AAGCTGCTACTATAGGCAACGGCTGAATTGGTGGCTGTGGTGAATCCGCTGGTGCCGGCGACGCCGGTGATGCTGTTGTTGGATAGTTCTTAGTATTCCTCGAATTCACGTGACGTTGGAATTCCACGTAAGCCTTGTCCAATAACCTACGCGCTTCCAAGTAAGGCCGACTTCGGAGCCAACCTCTGTACGGACGGTTATTCCCTTTTCGTAGCACTACGTTGTCAATTACGTTATTAAAGGTTCGCGGATATTAAAAAGAAAAAGAAAGAAGAGACTTACTGTTGCGGTAGACCTTGTTTGAATGGGTTAGTGTTCTGGTCTTTATAAGTGGCTCGTAGGTAGGCCCGTTCTTGGCACAATCGGTGAGGTGTTGGATCTTCTATTATACACCGACTATTCTATGTATGTTATTTAACTGAAAATAGACTATGGCCGGTATTCATAGTCTATTCTTATTTCAAGCAGTGATGCACATCTTGCTCCCGGGGACCCCGAGAGTGGTGGGGCTGATTCTCATGGTACCCGGGAGCCAGATGTGCATCACTGATTTCAAGACCGTCTTAAGTAATGTCTTACGACGCTAATGCAGCCCTCTGATTGGTTCGTGACTTATTACGACCATATTTAAGACGGTCTTGAATATAAGATCTGACTATGAATACCGGCCTATGACTGCAAAAATGACGGACTGCTTGAGAAACAGCACCGGACACGGAATAAGATCAGAAAGTAATGAGAGCGAGTCTCGTAGTGTCACGGTTTATGTAGAGAGTTTCGGAAGGTGGTGCTCTGATGAGACATGTTAAGTGGGAAAAATCGGGGATTTGGGTTGGAGGAATTTTTCTGCCTTTGGTAGGAAATTTGTGTTTCGTATTATTACTGGCGAACTATTTCCAAAATTTGCTCCGCCCGCACTGCAAGTTTTAATCCCTTGAGAACTTATTGGTGATACGTTATTACCTTCTCTAGATTTTCAGATCTACGGTCACCCATTGACGAGTTTAGTTTTAACTTTTCTATCTGAAGAGAGAGGGTATTTCACTCATCGTCCCTTACAAACGACCCGGCCACGACAATTTGAAAACTCGCATTTCCTCTTTTTTTTCTTATCTCCTATTGCTACTTGAATGTGCTTTCTTTCGTTTAGACAGTATTTATTCCAAATTTTATGATCGTCAGTAAAAAATTAAAATCTATTCTTATCATGCTATTTCCATTTTACTGCTTTCTGTTGTTAACGAGAAAACATCCTTCAACACGTTGTTACGCGTTTGGAAATGCGACTTTCTATTTACTCAGGATTCCCAATCTGCATTTAGATATTATTTATTGAAACTGAACGTGTTTGAACCGAACTTTCTCAACATGGTTTGTAGCTCTGTCATAAGTTTTATTACCGTTGGTCGGGCGATCCTGGCAGGGAATGGAAAGTTACTTTTTAAAAGTAACAAGTTACAGTTACTCGTTACCGAGTAAGAAAAGTAACAAGTTACCGTTACTAGTTACCGATTTTTAAAAGTAATTCGTTACAGTTACCGTTACTTGAGAAACTAACTTTTCGTTACTT